CAGCTCACTGTAGCCTTGACCTCGCAGGCTTAGGTAATTTTCACACCTAAGCCTCCTAAACAGTTGAAATTATAGGTTCATGCCACCAAGGCTGTCTAATGTGTCCTCTTTTGAGAAATGCCTATTCAGATATTTTGTCCATTTTAAAAATCAGATCGTTAGATGTTTTTCTTCTATGGAGTTGAGCTCTTTAAATATTCGGGTAATTAATCCCTTGTCAGATAGTTTTCAAAATCTTCCCCCACTCTGTAGGTTGTCTCTTCACTTTGTTGACGTTTCCTTTGCTGTGCACAAGCTTTTTAACTTGATGTGACCTAATTTGCCCATTTTTGTTTTGGTTGCCTGTGCTTATAAAACACTATGCAAGAAATATTTGCCCAGTCCAATATCTGGAGAATTTTCCCAATGTCTTATTTTGGTTTCGTATTTGGGGGTCTTAGATTTAAATCTTTAAAAAATTTTAAATAGAGCCATGGCATTGCCCAGGTAGTCTTGAACTCCTGAGCTCAAGTGATTCTGCCACCTTGGCCTCCCAAAGTGCTGGGATTACAGGTGTGAGCCACCGTGCCCAGATTTACATCTTTAATCCACTTTGATTTGATTTTTGTATAAGGTGAGAAATAGAGGCCTAGTTTCATTCTTCTGCATATGGATATCCAGTTTACCCAGCGCCACGTATTGATGAGACCATCATTACCCCATTGCACGTGCTCCACACCTTCGTAGAAAATGAGTTTACTGAAGATGTATGAATCGGTTTCTGGGTTTTCTACTCTGTTGCATTGCTCTATGTGACTGTATTTAAACACAGTGCCATGCTGTTCTGGTTACTATAGCTGTAGAGAATAATTTGAAATCAGATAATGTAATTCATCCAGGTTTGCTTGGTTCTTGCTCAGGAGAGCTTTAAATATTGAGTCTCTTATAGTTGCCTAAAAATTTTAGGATTCATTTTTTATTTCTATTTCTGTGAAGAATGTCACTGGTTTTTGCAGACTTGTGGTGGTACGACATTGGTGGTCTAAGATCAGACCTGGAGGAATTCTCTAGATTAGTGGACAGAGACTCACTTCTTCCTTTACTTTCACACGAATGAAGTCTGTCTCTCTGTGCTAGGCTGCCTGGAGCTGGGAGAGGAGCAATGCAAGCACCCCTGTGGCCACAATGTCTGGGACAGCACTAGGTCTGTCCAGACGGCACTAGGCCTGAAGCCAGCACAGCACTGTGACTGCCCAAAGCCCACTGTAACAACTACCCACTGCCACCTACGTCACTCAAGGCTCCAGGGCTCTACAATTAGCAGGTAGTGAAGCCAGCCAGGTCTCTGTCCTTCCCTTAAGTGCAATAAATTCCCATGGTCCTTGGGTGAGTTCAGAGATGTTGTCTGGGAGCCAGGGGTGGAGTCATAAACCTTAGATATCTACCGGTGTTCTGTTCTACGATGGCTGAGCTGGCACTGAGTCTACCAGGCAAATCCCTTCCCACTCTTCCCTCCCTTTTCCCCAGGCACAGTGGTCTGTCCCCAGGTACAACATCATTGTAGTCCCATGGGGATTAGTGCCAGGTCACCACTGATGTTCACTTAATTCCCAAGGGCTCTCAGTCAGCTTGTGGTAAGTGCTGCCTGCCCTGGAACTCACTCTTCAGGGCAGTGGGCTCTCCTCTGGCCCAGGTAGGTCCAGAGATGCCATCAAAGGGCCAAGGCCTGGATCAGGGACTCCTACAGCTCACTTGGTGCTCTTCTCACTGTAGTTGAGCTGGTATCTAAGCTCAAGAAAAATCTTCTTCACTCTTCCCTCAGCATTTATCAAGCAGAGGGAGTCTCTCCTCTTAGCCACCACAGCTGGGAATGTGCTGGGGCACACCAGAAGCCAACACACCTCTCAGTCTCACTCCAGGCCCATGGCATGTATCATCTGGTCACCATTGATGATTCTTCCAGGCCCAAGGGCTCTTTCATCAGAAAGTGAGGAATCCTGCCATTACTGAGTCCTTCCTTTTAAGGGAGCAGGTTCCCTTCTGGCCCAGAGTTTGTCTAGAGATGTTATCCTGAAGCTAGGACCTGAAATGGAGGGGTCTCAGGACTCTGACCAGTGCCCTCTCCTGCTGTGGCTGAGCTAGTATCCAAGTTGCAAGACAAAGTCCTCTTTCCTCCCCTCAAGCGGAAAAAACGGATCTTTGTCAGAGCTGCGAGCTGCACTGTCTAGGGATGGAGGAGGGGTGGCAAGCACTCCCTAGCTGCCCCAGCTGCTGTCTCTCTGAGTCACATGCCCCCAAACACACTGGCTCCAAGTGCAGCACGGCACTCGGACTTGCCTAACAGTTGCAGTCCTTGTGACCTAGACAGCCTTTCAGTTTATTAAGGACCCCAGAGTATTTTATCCCACAGGAGCCAGGCTTTCACAACTCAAGTCCAACCACAGGGATGAACAATTGCCCTCTGGCTGGGGCTAGTCTCAATGTTTTCTCCGTGGGTGGCCATTGGGTGAGTTCAGCCTTGTTTTACTTTCTGCTATGACAAAGCAGCACTGAGTTCAGGCAAAGCCCCACAGCTGCTGTGCTCTCCCTCCCCCAAGCATGTAGCTTCTCTCCTTGTAGGAGAGAGGTTCACAGTGGTGGCATCGACAATTCAAGGCTGTCTTTTCTATACTGCTCAGTGTCTCTTTCAGTGATATGAAGTTAAAACCATATAGTATGATCATTTACCTAATTTTAAGTTCTTATGAAGGTGCTTCTTTATTTAGATAGTTGCTAGATTTGTTATTCCTGTGGGGAGCACAATTGGCAGAGACTTCTATTCAGCCATCAGGCTCCACCTCTGTGACTGCATACATTCTGAATGACAGTCTTATCTGGAGTAACAGGCAAACATAAAAACAAACAAACAAAAAAACCCAAAAACAAAAACCTCTTGCCACTGCCTGATGATCTTGGTCTTCATATGCCTCATATGCTTCAATGTCATCAAGGGGTGTTCCTTCAGATTTTCCTAAGTGCCACCCACAAAGCCATTCTTTCTGTCTGGTGGACACTGTGAGAGTCTCTGCTGGAAATGACTCCCTGGCTCACCCTGCCAACCAGCTCTAAGGCCCTTCCCTTTACAGCAGCCAGGAGGCCAGAGTGGAAGAAAGACCCATGAAGCCCGTTTCAGTGTCATGTAGGTGCCAGCTGTGAGCAACCCCATGACTCAGCAAGATTTCTTGCACTCTCATAGGGCCCCCCACTCCCACCCCAACAAGTGCTGCTATGGTTGCACGAATGCCCCCAGAAACTCCTGAGTGTGGTGAGCATTGGGTGATGCTCCAGCAATGTTTCTCAGACTGCCTGAGGGGAACACTGGAACTCCTAACTCATCAGCCCAGTGATGCAAGACTCCTAATGGGGAGGGGACAGGGGCACAGAGATCTGTGACTATTCTGTATCCAAGGTTTCTATAAAATAGATATTTAGATAAAAGCAGGGGAACACCAGCAAAAGCAAATTCACAATGTATGACTCAGGGTGAAGCTATACTTCACAATCCAGAGGACCTAGACTTGTCAATGGCCAAATAATTATTTCAAAGGCCAGACATGTGCTCCTCACAAAGAGACAGGAACTTGCAGACAGCTTGTAAAAAGCCATAAGGATATTTACCATACTATTATGTTCTGGTAGTACACTGGTAAGATATTTGCCAAAAATATTCACCAGAAAAATACTTTTCCATTTATGAGATTATTACAAAAGCAATTTACCAAGACCTACCAATGAACAGTGAAAAATATGAACTGTTGCTCTAAAGCTGGGGAGGAAGAGTATGTGGTATTTATGCCCATTCTTATTATCTGCATAATGTAACCTTTAAAAATATTTCTTAAAGCGTTTAAGTTTATGGGAGCAAATAAAGTATTCAAAAACGGTTAGAAAGTTCACAAAAGCCGTGCAAACTCACATATCTTCAACTGTAAGGTTCTCAAAGAGCTCACAGTAGTCCTCAAGGCATACAGCCTCTTCACTCCTAACCTTGAGGGCAAGAAGAATGGCTCCTAAGATAATCCTCTTCCAGTTGGTTGGACAAATGTCAATATCAGCATAACGTATAAGTCTTTTAATGTATACCTGCAAAACAGAGCACTGGCCTTTGATTTAGCTCAGTTGAAGTGCTGTAATAAGAACTCTTGTGGAAAACCAGAATACTTCTGGTTTTGATTAGAAAGTAAACGCCTTTTATTTTTATGTCCTACAGAGATTTTGTTTCATTAGGTTAAGCAAGGGGCCATATCACAATCATAGGTCAAATATTTCTGCTACTTACCCTGCCCAGCAGGGGTAGATTAACACATCCAAGGAACAATGAATTGGGGGCAGTAGCTCTCAGTCACAATATACATCAGAATTGCCTGGGGGTACACTCTGGGACTCAGCTTAGACCTACAATGGCATCCATTCCTGCCCATCAACTGGATGGTTTTGTTACTACTCCCCATCCCAAGCCCTCCACATGCCTCCAACAGGGGGTGTGCGCACTGTGTATGTGTGCACTGAAGTATGTGGGGAGAAATCAGAAATCCCTCCTGCTGCCTTTAATGGCAATTGTTCTATAATGAGAAGATCAATGGCAACATTTTAAGCCATAATGATGATTTGACCCAAATGTGTGTATTTGCTTTCATAAGTTTCTCTTAAAGTTCTGAGATAATTTCAGAAACCTACTTTCAATTAAAAACAGGACCATACTACCCTGTTTACAAGGTCAACTTCTTTTCTTTTTTAGAAATGGAGTCTTGCTCTGTCGCCTAGGCTGGAGTACAGTGGCTTGATCTCAGGTCACTGCAACCTCTGCCTCCTGAGTTCAAGCAATTCTCCTGCCTCAGTCTCCCAAGTAGCTGGGACTACAGGGGCATGCTACCATGCCTGGCTAATTTTTGTATTTTTGGTAGAGACAGGGTTTAAACACATTGGCCAGGCTGCTCTACAAGACCAATTTCTAAAGATGCTTTACAAATAGAAAATATCTTACCAAACTAACGATTGCTAACTCAGCTCTTAGCTTTTTGGTTTTAAACAGAGTACGAACAAATCTGAAAATCACTTTCTGTCTAGGATCATACATAAAGTGTTCCTCCGGAAGCTGGTCTTGCTGAAAGAAGAAAGGATGCAATGTAAGTATCCATTGAAGAGAAAACATGAAGTGCTCTTATGACAGCAGTGTTCACATTTGTGCCATGAATCATTTACAATAATTTTGATTGGTGAGATGTCTTTCAGTTTTCACAATATGAACAGTGGGATCTTAAAATACCGTAATGATTTAATACTCATCAACATTCACTTAAAAATCACATAAGCTAAAGTTCAGAAAATGTTTGTTCTTTTTTACTCTTTGCCCTACATAATTCTATCCAAAATGTAAGCTACTCATAGGCTTTAATGTCTTACTGATCGTATGTCATTCTTTTCTGCAATAAATTTTGAGAAAATACAGTTTCCTGTAACCATGAGGCTCGAAGCCTAAGCTGTTAAACACAATACTCACTAGCCACATGTGGCTATTATGTACCTGAGGAAGTACATTTAAAAATTTTTATACCATATAAGTTGATTTATAAATTATTTTTAACTCTCTTGATAAAAATCATGCTTCTGTGTTAAAAGGATTTACATATTCTAATATTGCTTGATCTCTTAAAAGATATATTTTCTGTTATTTTGATAGTGTATTTACTCATACTAGCTCACTAACTAAACAGAGCTGCAGATCAGTTCTTATTCCAGCACACTCTTTTTACAACACTTAAGATGACTAAACACAACACAAAATGGGGAAGATTTAAAGACGGCTTTGACTTCAGCATGAAACAAATACAGGTCTATGATAAAAATACAACCTCAATAAAAGTGTCACTTACTGTAAATGGGTGTGATCATTCATCAAATACGTCCAAAGTTTTATCTGCCCCTCTATAAAATAAGAATGTCCATTATTTCAAAAACTGTTAATATCTTAGTATAGTATCTGTTTAGTATAATAATGCCTCCTATGTGCTTTGGTGTTTACTTCAACACAGCAAACAGTTTTTACAGGGAAACCTGTAGAGGGTTTCCCGACCTCTTCTTCCTTAGCACATGTGTCCTGTATTGTGAAGTCTTTTTCGCAATAACCAGTAAGATCTGCCTATAGGTACTGACCCTCCCTAACAGGCAATGGCAATAAATCAAACTTATTTTTACTCTTCTTAACCACACATTGAAACACAAGAATGTTTTACAAAGCAGCAGTGGTAGGCAGTAAAGTCTTTAGGACATTAATAAATGTAAATGTGATTCAGATTTCCTAGCTTCCTTTCTTTTTACTCCTCTATAGTATACTCTCATGATATATTTATTTTCTGTTATTCGAATGAAAAATCTCATCTGCCTTTTTATTTTAAAAGAGGCCAGTCTTTGATAAACTTTCAATTTCATAAAACTAATGCATTGTGCCTGTGTGATAAACCAGTCGTTCTCCAAATGTGCTCTGTGGATCTCTGGGGATCCCCAAGACCCTTTTCCAGAAGGCCTAAGAGGTCAACACCATTCCTTTTTTTTTTTTTTTTGAGACAGAGTTTCACTCTTCTTACCCAGGCTAGAGTGCAATGGTATGTATGATCTTGGCTCACTGCAACCTCCACCTCCCAGGTTTAGATAATTCTCCTGCGTCGGTCTCCCAAGTATCTAGGATTACAGGTGTTATAGGCACCTACCACCATGCCCAGCTAACTTTTGTGTTTTTAGTAGAAACGGGGTTTCACCATGCTGGCAAGGCTGGTCTCGAACTCCTGACCTCAGGTGATCCACCTGCCTGGCTTCCCAAAGTGCTGCGATTACAGGCCTGAGCCACTGCGCCCGCTGGACACTATTCTGATAATCATACTAATTAAACCTGATAAAGATAATTTTAAAAATTTTACCAAATTAAGAAAGTAATACAAAGACACCACTTTTTCATAGACACTTGCCATAACTGTATAAAAGCAAAAGTAAATAAAATTGCTGGTTTCTCAGCCTAAATCAAGACAGTGGTACCAATTACACTAATAGTAATTCTATTCTTTATTGTCCCTTACAGTTAAAAAAAAGATAGCCTGAAATACTTAAGAATGTTTTTGTTGAGGCAGTAAAAATTAATGGTGTTACTAAATCCTGACATGTGTCTTTAATATTCTGAATCAGTCGAAAGTGGAAAGTTAATAAGAAGTGCTTCTGCTGACTGTAGTATTGTTGTGTTTTTAAAAATTCATGATTTAATTGTAAGCTGAACAATCACTTTTTCACAGAACATCATTATTATTTAAAAGTACAACTGGGCCAGTGCAATGGCTCATGCCTGTAAAATCCCAGCACTTTGGGAGGCCAAAGCAGGCGGATCACTTGAGCTCCTTCAGAAGTTCGAGACCAGCCTGGGCAACATGTCGAAACTCTGTCTCTACCAAAAATACACAAAAATTAGCCAGGTATGGTGCCATACATCTGTGGTCCCAGCTACACAGGAGCCTGAGGTAAGAGGATTGCTTGAGCTGAGATCATGCCAATGTACTATAGCCAAGTGACAGAGACTCAGTCTAAAAAAAAAGTACAACTATCATTCTAAAAAATAAATGAAGTGAGGTTGTCACTTCAAGGAAAATAAGCATTTGTTCCCAATGGTAAAATTTATGCTTTCTTGAGGACTTTGAAAAACTCATTCCTTCTACTGCAGGCTTTATGCTTTTCAATACTTAGAAGATGTTTTAAAACAAGATTGGTGGTTAAACTAAAAATGATTTTTGATGCAAGAAAACATAAACCAATATATTCCAAATAACGAATGCATAATATTGTAAGTGCAAATATGGGGGAAAAGATCCATTTATCATGCAAGACAAATTAGTGAGTACTGATGGAATAAATTTATTAATATGTAAAATGCCACTGTAATTTAAGAAAGTAGCACTTGTGAAGTTTTCACTTATTATTAAAGAATACCTACAATGGTCTCAAAGCTTTAAAAGTGCACCTTTTACCAACTACATATTTGCATGAGATTAGGTCATGTTATTGCTCCTTGATCTTTTTTTTTTTTTTTTTTTTTT